ACTAAAATTTAAACACTACCAGACATTCATGATCATCAGATCGGCCTAGATTCAATCTGGGACGTTGGGCGCATATATATTCGTATGAGCTAGTAGGCTAATCCCAGGTTTTCTTCTATGTATATATATATATGGGCAAATGATTTCTTGCAACTGTTGTATAGTAATATGATGCAACAACCTTAAAACACCATCTTATGGCCATTTGTTTGATCCAAATTTTGAAATATACACTCTTTTCATTCTAATGAACAATCACAAAAAAGGAAAATTTGAAAACACAACCTAGAAAGTATTTTTTTAGCCCAATTAACATAGGCCGTTCATTTTGGTAAGATGTTTAGATCTAGGCCTTCGAAGGATTTTTTCATTTGTAATTTTTTTGTATGGCTTTATTAACATTAGATGAACAATGTTAAAAAAGAAAATAATGATTTTGAGTTTATAAAGGCTAAGATCTTGAAATTCATAAAATGAAAGGTCTAGATTCGTTTTTGGAGGGGACTCATTTAGACCATATCGAGGGTTCAAATTGAACTTTTTTTTTTTTGGGGGATTGATTATTGAGATGAAGAGAGTGTGTGTGCAAAATTTGGGGTCATACAAATACCACAAACATGGTTTTCTAGAAGTGCTGTTGCATTATACTATGATACAACCGTTGCATTAGATCATTGCTCTCTCTCTATATATATATATATATATATATATATGAGTAATGATCTATAGGACGCTCTCCCACCCATGTGTGTAGGACCCCAAAGGATCACCATTATAGTTGGCACGGATCTCTAGAAAAGTTATCACATGGGTGTGGGACTTGACTTTTCTATAGATCCATGTCAAACTTTAATGGTGATCCTTTAGGGTCCTACACACATGGGTGGGGGAGGGTCCTCTAGGATCATTTCTCTCTCTCTTATATATATATATAAGGAAGATGCTACGGTACGTCGATGGGTGTACCTGTAAGAATACGCCCAATAACCCAGATTGAATCTGGGCCGATCTTACGGTCAAAAGATGACCATGACCTCATTTCGTGTTTGAATTTTAATTTTTTTTTCTACAAATCCAAATCACGTGAAATTTTAGGTGTGTGTTCTTCCCATCAAGGCGCACCTAATAAAAATATCACAAAAATAATCCGTAAAAAACAAATTGGAAAAAATACCCCGGAAATGTTTCAGGGGTATTGTGGTCAATTTATTTCATATAAAATATTTTTTTGATATTTTTATTAGATTTGCCTATTTTTGAAGAACACACGCCTAAAATTTCAAGTGATTT